CACACACACACACACACACACACACACACACACACACACACACACACACACACACACACAGGCAGTGCACAGGATTATTCAGGCTTATTCCCAAAAGCTGGACTGCCAAACTCCTAGCCACTTCCTCAAACTCCAGAGTATATAATTTACTTTGTGCTGCAGTGCATCACTTTTTTCTGCAGTGAATTCCAAATGACTTATTCTTCTCCTATTTTATGGGCTTGTGGTCTTAAAATGATATTTTTGTTGACTGTTTACCAGACTACTGTCCCATCCACCATGCAATATTCACAGTTCAACTCGGTCTTCTGTCTTTCTTTTTAACTTCCCCAGTTGTTAAGTTCATCATGTTTTCTCCTTTCCACTGCTCCCTGGTCCGTTTCTTGTGTGTCACTCATCAATTTCCTTTCCCCTCCCATATTCTTTGCCCTTTCTTCCCCTTTTACTTTCCGTACTTATGTTCTCTCATTCTTCCCCTCGCATTTGTGGATGTTCACTTTTCTCATGCATGTTGGGAGTTGACAGATAGAATTTCTGGTATAACCTCAACTTTTCCCCAAGARGTTTATTCTCAAGTGAGCATGACCAAATCCACCAAAGAGAAAACATGAAACATCCACTGTCCTCTGTTGCTTTTCTCTGTTGGATCTGCCTCCCCTCCTTCTCTGCCAGCCTCATTTTTCTTTACACTGTATCTTTTCTCCTTGTTCACTTGCTGTTGCAAGACTTTTCGGTTTCGATTGTGTCTGGATGAGAACGTGACTTGCTTGAGAAAAAAAATAGCTGCCACTCCAGGTGATGCTAATGCATGTTTCTGTTTAAGAAACAGACCGGCACATCACATTAAAGCACTCATATCATCACCTCTCCAGTCTGAAACACTTGCACATCTGACTGAAAGCTGCTGCTTTTTGTTGGAAGAAGAGCATAGACACTGTTTGGTGGATTTTTGGCCAGCTGCTGTGGAATTAAGTGAAATAGTTTGAAGGAGAAACCATTCCGTTCTACAACTCTGGTTCACAGCTAGGCTTTTCAGGTCCTGTCTTCAACACGTTACAAGTAAAGGAGTTTTAAGGTGTATCATGATACACATAGACTGAAAGCAGGGAGTTGCATTTTTCTTGTTCTGTTTTTAACCTTGAAATCCTTAGATATAACCTGGCCCTTGCCTTCCTACACAGTTCCACTCAATTCTAGTTTCCCTTCACTGCTCCTTCTGGGATTTCTCCCATAGACAAGGATTTCTTCAGGAGAATTTTCATCCAGGCCAATCAGAGAACAGAAGGCATTGTTTTGAATGGCAACATTGATTTTCTGCGCAGTCTGCTAGTTAGTTTAGCAATGGCAGTGGGGAAAGTGAATGAAGCCAGTCTGTGTTGATAAGGCTTCCAAATTCAATTAAATTTGTCTGACAAAGCAGCAGCTCTCATTTACAGTCGTRTCGTTCGGCTCGGTACTTCTCTCCTCTCAGTAGGGTTGTTTACAGCACACGATTTCCGGTTAGCTTCTTAGCTTAGCCTCCTTCACAGTAGAGCTGTCACACATACGTCGCYGCCAACCGATCCAATCATTTTAAACTTCAGCAGAGGCCACGCCTCCAGCAAGCAATCGCTTCTCTATAGCCGAGAGTCCAAACCCTCGTACGAAGCAAAGTGAACGACAAGGATCAGGTTTTAACCAGGCAACCTTAGATACCTTTAAATTAGCTGATTTCTTTGGGATTAGGCTTTTTGTTTCAGCCAAATTACTTTAATTTTGTGCTCTTTCAGTTTTATTTAGTGTCTGCATCATCAAGTAAAGCTGTTTTTATTATGTCTGCTACATTTTGGGTTTGTGGCACTGTTGAAGTTATGGAAAAGAGATGCAAAAGAAAGAAAACATGGTACAAAAACAAGAAAAATATGAACATTTTGTAAAGGAATGAATATTGCTCACTACTTTTCACGTCAGAATTTTAAAACCTGATCATTTTATGCTGTTTTAATCAGACCTAAAAACATTTTGTGATATAATGTGATATTAAATTTGTTAAAAATGGCCCATCTGATGCTGCATCCCACTTTAGCTCAATATCCGTAAAACTGGCTGAATTACAGCTGTTTTGTGATAGGTGATAATGAATAACTGTGGRGGTTCTCTTTAAGTTGACTCCAAAAGTTAGTCAGTTGTAAAAGTACATCAAATGATTTATTTCTGAGAGTTTATTTAAAATATGCTCAGTTGTTCATGGGATATTTTTCTTACAGTCAGAATTGACTCCATTGAGTAATAGCTAAATGAAAAAAAAACCTTGTGTGATCGGTTAGCGCTTGGAGATTTTGTTGGTGATAATAGTCATTCACTGCCACATCAAATTGTTGCTGAATATTTATTAAATTCCCCAAATTATAGTCATTTTTGTGTTTGCCGAGGATTCTTAACTGTGGTGACCATCTTGACAGTGTATTTGTGATTACTTTCTGAGAGTTTCAATAAAATGTGTCCAGTGGTTTATGAGATAATTTTCCAACAGGAAAACAAACAGACATGGGYAAAAAACATTGTTGCCTTTTGCTTTTGGTGGTAGATGATATTAAAGAGAATGAAAGGGGCTTAATACAGATACTTTATCTGTCCCTGTTTATTTGAAGTCAGCCTTGGCACAGATAAATTGTGATGTGCTGATAGCCTGATARGTCCTCTAGCAGCTTTCTAACTTCCTCAGTATAAGACATGATCTAAAGCTTCACCCACATCAATAATAGCAGGACAGAAATGGAAAAAACCCTCCCGTCTTAACACCTAACAGTGGTTCACATCGTTGCATGGCTCAGCAAATCAGCTGTCAGCTTTAAACCCACAATGACAGCTGCATTAGATTGCAGACTTGAATCTGTCAGAATAAACATGTTTTCTCATGTGTTATGGTTTTGTATTCTCTTTCATTTCTTTTTATGTAGCATCAATTGTTTTCTGTGACAATAACAGCTGTAACAGTCTCACTTTTTTTGCTTTAAAGCTGCAGTCTGTAACTTTTTAAAATATATATTTTTGACATACTGTATTTGTTAAAACTGTCACTATGTCCTGACAGATTGATATTAGACAGATAATCTCTGGGGGAAAAAAGGGGGAAAAAGTCCTCTGGCTCCTCCCGGTGGTCCTTCTGCCCTCTGTTAAAATCTCTCCGACCCGGAGACGAACAGCCAATCAAAAGTGAGGTTTGTCTCATGCAGGAGCTGTTCTTACCCACTCCCGTCCCTGCCCGCGCAGCGCGCACGCCGCGCAGCCGAGCTAGCGCGCTCTCGTTCAAACAGTAAGCTAGCTGAGCTAGCTGAGTGAAGCTGACCCCTCCAACACCCTACAACCTGGATTGGAGCCTGTTCTGAAACCAACACAGGGAAACAGAAGAAGACCCAGGAGGAAATCCAAGTTGAAAAGAAAGAATTAGATCGAGCCCAGAAAAAAACGAGGTGGATTTCACAGGAGGAAGAAGAGGGATGCAGAGTTAGCCATTTCTGCTTGACAAGTTAGTATCTCTGCTTCATTTTTTTTATTTTTAATAATGTTATTAAAAACTAAAAAGCATAGAGCTGCTGTAGTACTACAAAACAAAGTTAGTGATGGTTACAGAACCACCATAACACGTTAAATAAATGCTAACGTTAGCAGCTAACTCGTTTAACCCCAGTAAACTACTGTTCATATTTACCTACATATAGTTATCTTGACTTATTCTGTC